GAGTAGGTCCGGGTTGTCACCATCTTGAGCATCATTAACAGACCGTTATTAAGTACCTGTTAGGAGCAAGGCACTGTGGTTCGCATGTAGCATAGAGGGTGCAGGCCTGGGCAGCCCTGGGTGTGACCCCAGTCCCACCACTTCCTGGGAGACACGGAACAGTCCCTTAGACTCTGTAAGGCACAGTTTCTCCCTCTGTGAAGTGGAAGCCGTGCTCTTTAATCCCAGGGTGCCGGTAAACCAGACGATCCTGCAAAAGGCCTAGCGCAGTACTTGGCATGTAGGGGACCCTGTTATGGTATATGATGGCTTAGTGCTGTTCCAGTCTGATGAGGAGTGATGACTTCTGACACTTAAAGAGCAGGACTACCGTATCAGACACTGTTCTAACCTCTTTACAACTGTTAGCTCACTGAATGAATCCTCCGGCAGGCCGGTGAGGTGGGACTCAGCCAGGACCTGACCGAGGCAATCCGGCCCCAAGTTCATGCCCTTCACCATCACACTACAATTGCTTCTCATCTGTGCCCTGCCTCTCATCATACAGTAGGGCACGGAGTCCTCAGTCTAGCTTTTTCGGGGAAAACATGTGAAAATAGTCTTTCTGTGTGAGATGAGTTACCCAGCGCTGGGGCAAGAGTTAAGAGAGAAACTGATATTTGGAGCAGGAAGTCTTCCACTTGGGTTCAGATCTCGAGTCTCACCTGCGATTTAAGCACACCTAATCTTCCCCCAAGTCAGGGTCCGTCCGTTTTCGCTAAGTTCGCTAAGTTCTGTAGCTGTTATGGAAGAGCAGGGAGTACCCCGAGCAGATGGCCTCAAATTTTCAGTGACTGACAGAACTGGGCACATATGGGAATATTTTTAAGGGAAGATGGGGAGAGAGTCTCCCTGGGTGGTTGGAAAGATAGGATAATTCCGTCTTCATAAGGACCCGCGATACAGCCATAGCATGGCATATTTAGTATGTGTGGATTTCATTGAAATAAATTATTTCAGGTCATTTTCGTTTTGAACTTAAACAAGAATTTAAGTGATTCAGAACCCAAATGAACCCACAAATCTATAAAAATCTATACTTACGCTATAAACTATGGCCTCTTTATAATTGGCCAGTAATTTATAGTTTGCGAGAGGAAGAAGGGTTCAAAACACACAGTTTTTGAGCCAGAGATCTTTGGGTTTCATTTTCCCATTTCTCCGTCCTACCTTTGTGATCTTGGGCAAGTTACTTCACCCGGCCAACCCCCCGGGCCCCAGGCTGGCACACGAGGATAATACCGACCTCTGAGAGCTGCTGCGAGGATTCAGTGAGGTAACGGACACGCAGTGCCTCAAGCATCGTGGTCACCCAGGAAATGGGACTCGTTGGCATACTAGGCGGCCAGGAGAAAGCCCTAAAACTACTTTCTGGAAACAAACTGTTTTAATAGAGATACCTGCAATACCCCAGAAACAAGAAAGTAAATGTTGAATGGTGGTGTTTGTGGCTTTGAGCGTGGGGCAGGGGCTTGTGTTTAGGAGTCGGAGACCCTCCTTAGTACTCCCTGCCTCCCCTGGTCTCCCTCACCCGTGCTCCCCAGGCAGCTGCCGTCACCGGGAGGAGGAAGTAAGGAAAGGATCAGCCGGAAGTGCACCCTAATGCAACCACCCGTTGGCTTCCCGCAGTCGGGAAAGGGGCGGCTTGCTTACAGCCCAGCTGCCAGGCAGGCAGCCCCAGAAGCCCCACGCCCTGCACGCTGCACTTAAAGTCACAGTAAATGTGCCAGGTTGCAGGGTTACTTAAGATGAAAATATTGATCTGCGTAAATGGATAATGTCTACTTTTGATTAAATTTTGCATGTGAAAGACCCATTGGAGATGCCATAACGTGTGATAATTGTAGTATCCTCAGATAAAAGGGCTTGTAAGTGTATATGATTTTTTAAAATTATAGAAGTAGCCTTCGTTTATTATAGGAAATGTGAAAAATACAGAATAACAGTAAAGAAAAATAAAAGCACTTCTATTCCCACTATTTGGTATGGCCACTATTCACCTTTTTAAAACACCCTTTCAGTATTTTCCCCCGTGACTTACACATATTTTTCATAATCGCAGTCATCCCACACATATTGTGTTATAATTATTTTTTTAATAAAATAGCATATTATAAATGTGTGGGATGACTTTTAATATCTTCATAATATTTTACAATATTTTCTTGGACCAAGTATATCAGAATGTTTTATTAGCTCTAGGGTATTCCTAATTTTTGGCTATCGTGAAAAAATGATGTATGGCAGTTCAGCCTGTGCCCGGGCACCACCGTGAATCCATAGGCACGGATGGCAGGGCCCTACACACTGCACTGCTGGGAGCTACTGGGGACGGGGCAGTCAGAGGCTGTTTAACAGTCCAGTGTCGTAGAAAGCATCTCTCCAGGTTCAGGGGTGACTCCCTTCCCTGCAGGGGGCTGAGGATGCCCACAGCTGTGAAAGGTGTGTGTTAGGGAGGGGGAAAGGAGAGGGTGCTTAGGAACCTCCCACCAGGAAGTTTTCTTAAGTTCGCCTGGGCGTGATTTTCCCGTGATTACAACCACTAGCAAATGTGAAAGCATGCAGTGATCAGCAGCAAACGTGCCCCTGGTCTTTGACAAATGTCACGGACAGGTGACAGATACAGGTAGCAGAGACCAAGAATTACCTGTATTCCCATACCTTTATTTGCTCAATATTTTGAAATTAAATTTAACTATGCATAATGTTGAAATACAATACCTTCTTAACCTGAATACAGCACACAAGGGGGGATCCCCAAAACACAGAGTTTATTTATAAAAAATTGCATATTTATTCTTTTTAAAAAATATTTTTTTTATTTATTTATTTTTAGACAGGGGGAGGAAGGGAGAAACAGAAGCATCAGTGTGTGGTTGCCTCTCGCATGGCCCCCATTGGGGACCTGGCCTGCAACCCAGGCATGTGCCCTGACTGGGAATCCAACCTGCGACCCTTGAGTTCGCAGCCCTGTGCTCAATCTACTGAGCTACACCAGACCAGGCTGCATATTTATTCTTAATGTTTAAACTTCAATCACCTTCAAAATAATCTGATGCAATATACCTATTGAGATGTTTTCTCCACTGCTCAAAACAGTTTTTGAACTTGTCAATTTCGATGCCTTTTAGTGCTCCTGTCATTTTTTGTTTCACCTCTTCCACATTGGCAAAATGTTTCCCTCCGAGGACTTGTTTCATCTAGGGAAACAAAAAAAGTCACTCAGGGCGAGATTGGGTGGGGCACAGGGGTCATGTCGTTTTTTATCAAAAACTGCTGAACACTCAGCGCAGTGTGGGCAGGTGTGCTTATAAATCACCCGTCATGAAATGGGCAAATGCATGGAAAGAATCTTCCCAAAAAACTCACTGAAGCCAAATGCAGCCTCTTACAACAACGCCAGCTGGTACACTGATAGAGATGGGTTCCTAGAACACTCACCTAGTGGGGGAAGCCTGTACTACAAGGGGCCCGCCCTCCAGAAGATAGTTCCAGCTTTTTGGGGGGAGTCCCACCTCATAGAGTTTTTAAGAATTGTGTAGACTTCCATGTACTTGCTTAAATACATAGTGGTATGTGTTTTGGGCATTGTTTACTTATTTAAGGTCTAAAAGCTGTATTATAAAAAAAGAACTGAACGTATGTATAAATTCTGAGAACTGGCAGAAGTGCTGATGAAATACCAATTAAATTAGAGAAAAGATCAAATACATCACAAATCACAGTGCCACAGATGGACACGAGACGTGGGGGAGGAGAACGCCGAGAGAGGAGTGAAGTGCCTCCAGCTGGCAGAGAAGTGCCGGTTACGTTGAGGGCCCCTGAAGAACGCATCTAAAAATACATGTTCTGCCCCGGGGCCCCGATGCTTCCCTCAGATCTCCGGCGCCTCCGCCTCTGTCGGACCAAACATGCCTTTCATGCCTTTCAAAGCGGTGAGGCAGGTTGGCCTCTCATCTTCCCCGTAACCACTAACAGCGGGAGTGGTCCTTTGAATCTGATCATTGGACCCGCTAGGTGTTATCCGAGAAGAGCAAGATCATCATTTGGCTTGACAAAGAAATACATGAATAAATGTATAAAATGCCCCAGCGTTTTTATTAAGTTCCGCCAGAACCTCCCGCCTGACAGAGGATAGCTGGTATGCCTGGTTTCCAGGATTATTAAACCTTCGTCTTTGTGTTTTCTTAAATGTTTCAAAAAGTCAGGAATGAGCACCCACTGTCCTTCTAGGGCTGTAACCGAGAAACCGGAGATTTGTTTTTTTCCTTAACATCACGTGATTCTTAAAAATTTTTTGAACATTTAGACTGTCATTAGAGTTATAAACATATCTTATTCCTGCTTGTAATTGATTATTCATTATTATATAATGATTATTAATAAGTACGTTTGTAGGAATCAATGTTTACTAAGTGTTTTTCTTTACTTGGAGATGAGATTTCACTCATCTCACGGTGTTCTCCTCTCCCACCTTTTATGTCCATCTGTGGCATTGTGGTTTCATGGTGTATTTGATCTTTTCTCTAATTTAATTGGCATTTCATTATTTCCTTACCCTTAGAATATAGTATCTCTGCTGTTCACAATAATCCTTCAAGGTTGTAAGTATTCCTTCCTAGGAAGCAGGATCAGAAAAGGGTAGGTTACTCGCTCGTAGCTAAGGAACCATGTAGCCACCTTGTGATCCCAGGCCAGTCTGACTCAAAACCTTCCACCTCCCACCGTGTTTGCGGGGGAACTGAATGGAAACAGACCTGATGACACTGTGGGACAAGCTGCTGAGTGAAACCTGGGGGGAAGACACCCAGCCTCTTCCATTTTGGAGAGCTGGACCCGCAAGACAGACCTCAGCAGGTTCCCAGTGCTTTAACAGCTTTTTGCCAACATGTGGTGCGTTTTCAATGTTAAATTCACTGTTTCAGCCTTCCTCCGCTCCCCCCGCCCCTTTGGTCTTCCAGGCCCCCAGTACCGCCTGGAGAAGCAGAGTGAGCCCAACGTCGCCGTGGACCTGGAGAGCACCTTGGAGAGCCAGAGCGTGTGGGAGTTCTGCCTGGTCCGCGAAAACAGTACGTCGGCCCCCTCGCTCCCTGCCTGTCTGTCCGGTGCTGTCTTGCTGGGAAGTCATGTGTTCAGGGACACTGGTCTGGCCTCCCCAGGCAGATTGCAAGTGACTGTTTTCCAAGGCAGAAAGAGCTCAGCCTTGCTGCCAGAAGTGTGTTCCGAAGCGAAATGATTGATTTCATGCTTTTTGGTAAAGTCTGCATCCTGTTTGGCTCTCTGTGATTAATTTTTTTTTCTATTAAACTGTATCTTCCTAAGTTAGGGAAACAGCTTAGAAATAGGAGGCCTTTTCTCTGAGGCAAAGACTGTTTTGTGTATAAGGCAACTGGCCCTGTCAGTGTTGCCATTCAGACGTCAGGTTTTAGAAAATTCTTGTTTGTGTGCCCTTAGCAGGAGGCAGTGCAGGGTTCCTAGTGCTGTGTTATAAGTCTCTCTACAACTTCAGTTGATTTCTCTCCGTTCTCCCTTTAGCGTTTCCGAGTTGTGAATCTTTGCCATTCCTCTCCTCTGCACTCCCGTTGACTTAAGGAGCGAGTGACACGTGAAAGCTGAGACTGTGATAGCCAGCCCTCCGAGGTCACCCTGCTCCAGGGCCTGTACACAGGCCCGTTCTTCTCCCCACTCCAGCTGTCATCCTTCGTCTCAGTGCAAACGTCCCATTTGCAAAGAGGCCATCGGTGATCTCCCTGTCCTCCTGACCCATCCCTCATTTGTCTCCCCCGCTATCTTTTGTCGTAGAGCATACTACTTTTCATTCATTGTGTATATTTCTGTCTATGATTATATATTTTTCTCAATGGTCATTTGATGTCTGTTTCCCCCATGAGCTGTCCAGGTCTCTGAGGGCGTCCCTGATCCACAGCAGGTCGCCCTTCTTGAATTCAGCCAGGATTCACTCCTCACCCCCAATGTACTGTAGGAGCTTAGTAAGTATACAGGGTGAGGCAGAAGAAGGTTTACAGTTGTGAGTACATGAAACACCGAGTTTATTCTTATATTCTCGTTTATTTGTGATTGTATTGTTTTCCGTACGAACAGCTGTAAACCTGCTTCTGCCCCAACCTGCAGACTGAGTGAGTGAATGAAGGGCAGTTTCCCATCATGCCACGGACCCTCTAAGCAAGACCAGGCTGCTGCTCGTTGACCAGGCCCCCGACAGCCCCTTCTAGAGGGGCACGTGCAGAGCTCCCCAGGCAGGTCCGATGTGCTCCTCACATTTACAGCAAATTCTGAAAAGCAGAAGGTTGGTTGGTGTCCCCGTGGTCTGTATGAGTATCTTGTATAAATACATAAAGAAAGAAAAAACATTCAGGTTCTCAAATGGTCCAGAAAATTCAAATAAGTAGTAAGCATTTGTAAAAATGTTCATCCCTATCAACAATCTGAGATACAAACATTTTAAAGCAACCTATCAAATAAGCCAGGTATTTCCAAATGAGTCCTCGTTGCTGGGGACAGGGAAATGGGTTATATTCCTATACTGGTGACTATAGTGTAAGTTAACTTAATGTATCTGGAAGTATCAAGAGACCTAAAAATGTTTACCCAACATTTCTGCACTTGGAAATCTATCTTACGGAGAAAAGATTTAAAGTGCAAGAAAGATTTATGTATGATAGGTGTTAGATATTTATAATATTTACAGGAGTACATAATGTCTATATAATATCCCCATATGGGAAAATTATACGGGACATCACCTTTTGTAAAGGCAGACTAAGTAATTTGAACAGATTTTTCCCACTGAAAGTAGCAAAGCTGATTAAATTCTACAAATCATAGAAAATTAGTAATAGCTGATATCAGGAAGGAGATTGAACTAAAAGGTAAGATCAACACCTAGGACAAATTTTGTCCTGACAGCATTTGAATCGGAAGGCTGCGATATTTAAAGAAAATTTTACATCCTTTAAATTCATAGATTGCATAAGAAGAAAGGTCAAAAAGTAACAAGTTAAGCATTTAGCTCAAGAAATTAGAAAACAGAAAAGAAAAGGAAAGAGAATAAAAGGAAGGAAGCAATGAAAGTAAGAGCAAAAATTAAGAAAATAGAAAATTTAGGGACATCAGAACCAAACACTGGGTCTTCGAAAAGACTAACAAACTTGCTAACACCCTGAAAAAGTGGATCAGAACCATGGGAGAGAAATAAATAATGGGAAAAAACCACAAATAGTAACAATAAGAGCGGCACACGACAGATCCTGCAGTCACCGAATAGATAATACAAGGTTATTTTAAAAAGTCTATACCCAAATTTGTGAAAATGTAGATGAAAAAGGGAAAAAAAACTTAAAATTGACACAAGAAGAAATAGAAAACTTGCATATTCCCATAACTATTTTGAAAAATTGAGTTTGTGATTAAAACCCTTACCACAAAGAAACTGAGTCCCAGACCACGTCGCTGGCTAGTTCTACCGAACGCCTACAGAAGAAACCCCCCAGCCTAACCTACACCGGCCGTCCCAAAGGGCCGGCAGTGAGGTTGCACTCTCCGGGTCACGTGAAGGGGCCGTTGTAATCTTCTTACCAAACCCCGGTAGAGACCCTGCATGGCAGAGAACTTTCAGACCAATCCTAAGCAAATGGAACTATCCCAAACCAAATATGAACAAACTGAATTATAGCAGTCTAGTAAAAGAATGTAACACTCCCAGGTTGCTTTTATTCTAGGAGTACAAGGTGAGTTTAGCAATAAAAGTCCCAGGCAGTGTAATTTGCTAGGGTAGCAGATTGAAAGGAGAACGCCGTCTCAGGAGATGGAGAATGCTCTTCCGTTATTCTGAGTTGTGTTTACTGGAAGTTTTCATTACAAGAGAAATAACTTGGATGTAATATTAAGAGGGAAAATTGTCAAGGATACAGAAATAACACAGCTAGACTAATCTCAACTATGTAATATCAAAACCAACAAACAGGAGAAAACTGTACTTGAACAATGATTAAAATAAAAATTTAAAAAAAACAACAAACAAAAAAAAGAAGAAGAAGAAAAATTGGAAGGAAAATGCCAAAATGTTAATAGTGGTTATCTCTGGTCAGCAAGATTCTGGGTAATTCATTTCCCATCCTCTTTATTCTTTACTTGTATTTTCCACGGTTTCTAAAATGAGCATGCGTGGCTTTCTAAGAAGAAAAAGCCAACAAGTGCTGTGGGCAGGTTCACACCGACACAGATTACATAATGAGAGCGCCTCCTGGTTTCACGATCCTCGCGACGGATGCTCGAGTCACACCCACGGCAGAGCTGTGACAATGCACCTCTTTGTAGCTTTGCTTATCGGACTTTTTTACCTGATATAAATGGGTAATTCCTCCCTTCCTGTCTTTTTCTTTCATTCTTTAAAGAATTTAAACATACTAGGGGAACTCATTTACTAAGACAGGAACTCTGTAGTAGATTCTGTATCAGAATGTTGATTCCTTGTTATATAAATAAGAAAAAGGTGTTACTTATTAGCATCTCGGTAAATGTTTTGGATATGTAACACTTATTTACGTGAAATAATTTTTCGGACAACAAAGTGTAACTGTAGTGAAAACTTAGCCTCTCCTCTCTGTCCTAATTCCCCTCCCAGAGGCGGCAGTTGTTCCCAGGTTCAGCGGTATCTTTGATCCAGGGATCATCCGGGCATGTGCGAACATATTCTGCATATGTGTGTGGATGTACCCACACAAACACACACGCACACATATAGCCAGCCCTCTGGGTCCATGGGTTTAGTCAGCATCTGCAGATTTGACCAACCGCAGATGGGAATATCCAGAAAAAAGTGTTACGTTATTGCTGACGCTTACTAAGTAGTAAGGTCTGCGTGGTCGCGCCCCGAACAGTGTGGTGTAACGGCTACTTACAGAGCGTTTACATTGAGTTCGGTGTTGCAAGTGACCTGGAGATGAGCCGAAGCATGTGGGAAGGATGCTGAAGGGGACACGCAGTGCACCACGCCAGTCTGTGTGAAGGGCCTGAGCGCCCACGGACAGCGGAACCTCCCGGGGCTTCTGGGTCCCATCCCGTGCGGGCACCGGAGGCAGCAGGGCCGTGCACATACACATCTGTGCTCGCCCCCATTCGGAAAACAAATGGCAGCCAGCTGTCGTCAGCGCTCTGCGTTTTCCTTTTGTCATTCTGACCAATGTTGTGGAGAGCATTTCACATTGATCCACGTAATACTTTACCTAAAAATTTGCCTCCTTTTACCTGTTGCACAGTATTTCACAGTATACTGTGACTCTAAATTAGTTTTTGTTTGTGTCTTTGTTTTAAGAGGAGGTCAGACTTTCTCATACTAGGAAGGAGAGAAGCTGTGAGAATTGGTGGGTAAAGCTTTGACATCTGGGCTCTTGTCCTTACTACACTTCTAAGCATGAGCACACTCTCAGGTAACTTGTGTGCCATCTGTGAGCCTCGGCATCCCCATCTTAAAGGACCTGCAAGAACTTCCGGTTCTTACGCTCCGAGTCAAAGTCATGGTGTCAGCGGAAGAGGATGTTCCCGGTACTTACAAAGACCACGAGGCAGTGGGTGGTTTCAGATCCATAGAATACTATGACTAGTTTTTGTAAAATGGAAGTAAATTTAAAAACCAGTTTATTCTTTTTATAGAAAAGGGGTTTTTTTTCATTTTTAAACATTTTAAGTAGAAATTCCAATCAAGAACAAAGTATTATTCTCAAGTAGCTCCTATGAAAAAGTTGGATTGAGATTTTAAAAATATTTCAAAAATAGAATTTTTTTAACTTCTTTTGGTATATTTGATCAGGACAGGTTTAAGTTTTCTATTCATTGATTGGTTTTAGAGAAAGGGGAAGGGAGAGAGACAGACAGACACACCTCAGTTGGTTGTTTCGCTTATTTATGCACTTATTGCTTGATTCCTGTGTGTGCCCTGACCAGGGATTGAACCTGGAACCTTGGCATATGGGGACAATGCTTTAACCAACTGAGCTACCTAACCAGGGCCTTACAGCCATTTGAAGAATGAACTAAATTATGAGCATCT